GGGGGGGGTGAAGAGAATTGGAGGCAGCAACTGTATCATTGAGTCCTGTCTCAATGAGTGCCTCAGGCCTTTGCTAAAGAATTGTGTCATTAGGTCCTTTAAAGAGACAATACTTGTGTTGCAGCACACTTAACGTAAACTGTGTTAGTGACTAAGTCTGTGTTTGCATCTTTCATTATACATGTATCTTTTCAGTATGGGCAGCAGATGTTCCAGTCTGTCAGAGGGCTGTGTGTGTGTGTGTGTGTGTGTGTGTGTGTGTGTGTGTAGAGAGAACACCCTGTTAGTGTGGCTGGCATCAAGCGCCCGTCCATCATACTCGTGTGCATGTGTAGCTCGAAGACACAGTTGTGTGTCAGTTTCTTGCTCACTGCCAACTAGGACTACTTCATGTGAGTCACTACCAACAGAGCTAAAAACAGCTGTACTCGGGACTCTCTCTGTGTGACCCCTCACCTCACTGTTGGGGTCCTGGATGACTCTGTAGAGAGCTGGCACCAGGGACTTCTTCAGATGGAGGCTGCCGGCATATCTGGGGATTTGGGTTTCTGGTAAGGACTGGAAAAAAAAAGAAAAAAGAAAAAAGTTTGCTGAGCAATTGCGGACTTTTTTTTGTTTTACATTTCTTTAGAATAGTGCTATGACACATACCTCTGCATCATTTCCCCTTACATCCCTCAAAATAGTCACCTTTATAATATGCATGGGAAACAGCGTTTTCAAAATAAAACACGGCCTACTGGGGATGACGACGTTTAGATTTCAGAGCTGGTCCTTTACAACTTAAAGCCAATACACTCGGTGTTTTCACTAATGTAGCCGGATTAGACTTCTTCTCAGGATCGTGTGGGCGTGTACAAACTGCGAATGATTGACATCTCCCTCATCAGTATGTTGCTGTTTGGTCAGGGCAACTTACACCATTATCATTAGCCGTGTCACCTCTCCCTACATAATAAACACACAACACCAGGACCCTGAAACTGAAGCAGCTCAACTTAATTCGGTCATTAATTGTGTAATTCACATTTTTTTCTGCTTTGACCTGTGAAAACGTCTTGATGAAAAAAGCCTTTTCTCTTAGGTAGTGTTAAAAAACATTCTCGGACATGAAGTTGGATGAAACTCAGATGAAAAGGAATCACAAAATGTCTCTGAAGGAGCTGAACGTCAGCCTGATGATATCCGACAAGCTCAGAATATCCTGAGGTGAAATTCTTTAAATGGTCAAGACTGTGTGTTGGTCTGCAGATGACAGAAGGCTGAGATATCTTCTCCTAAGAGCCTAAGTTTGGTCATTTTGAGGACAGAACACAATGTGCCTGGTCTGCACCAACTCACACAATGAGTCATACCAATCCATCTCCCTCACTATTCATCAAACTCCCTCTTTTCTCTCTGCTGCACTACACAACAATTCCTTCTTTTTAGCTCGTTCCCTTAGATCTCATACTGATTACTTCAAATATTAAAATGACAGTGTATATATATACACACACATATATTAAATAAATAGTGAGTTAACAAGCTATATCAGCTTTTATATACATTCACAAGTGGATTTTGTGCTTCAGAGACACAAGCTAGTCCATCAAAAATAGACGTGTAAGTAAAGACATAAGTCTTTACAGTAGTTGATTATGTGTCCGGCTGAGTCAGTCAGGGTGCTGCACTTCCTCATGTTTAAATAAACATTGTCAGACACGGCTGTACTTTAGAATCAGTTTATGTGTCTAGCTTGAACTGGACAGGTTCAGCTCACACTGAGTCTTAACTGTCCTAAATGTCTACAGCTCTTGCTTGCATTCACTGAAATCAGTAACAATTTACAAAGCACTGAAATGCTAAAGAGGTGCTATGCACAAACGCTCAACACTATCTTTCATCAAAGTTGTTACACCCACAGAGAGTGGTTTTGACCTGGAGGAGAACATTTCATTGACACGAGTCGTGATGGACAACAGAGGAGAGGAGGGCTTTTCACCTTGAATTCTGAGAGCCATTCTTCGACAACACCGCGCTCTGAGCCCAGCATCTTCCTCAGAGACCCCCCCCTGGGCTGCCTGGTGGAGATAGAAAACGACAGAGGACAAGTGGAGAGAGGAGGAGACATGGGGAGATAGTAGGAGACAGGAGGAGACATGGGGAGAGAGAAAAGACAGGAGGAGAGAGGAAGAGAGAGGGGGTGAGATGAGACATGGGAAGAGAGGAGGAAAGAGGGGGAGATATGGGGAGAGAGGAAGAGAGAGGAGGAGACATGAGTGTGGACGCTGTGACGCTGACCACGCTGTTACATAAGGAGCTACCTAGGTGATAATCATGAACATGAACCACTACAGCCAGTCAAATAGGCTTTCCCTCCACTATTCAAATCTGATGTGGTGAAGCCAGAGTCGGCTCATGTGCATTGCTATTAACCCTCGTGACACAAAACCGCACAGCGCAGCACACCGCCGATTTGACGAGCAACGATGTTAAAAACACAAAGCTAGAGATCTGAATTTCCTAAATGATCACACATATTTCATTCAGAAGAGATGAGATAACATAAGACAGATATCACGAGTCACTTCTCTCTCTCTGCCCTATCCTCCTCCCTTTGACACATGAATGTGCCGTCACAGTGTGCGACATGTGACAGAAGACTGTGTTGTAAGTAAACTCATTGCCGCTGTATCTGGGTCAGTGTCCTCTGTTAACTTTGTGACACATGCAGATACTGCATCAAGTCAAAGCGCAGAGATTATGCAGACGGTTAAGACGAATCAAACGTTTCAGATTCAAGAGGCGAGAAAAGCTGTGCGGGCACAAAATAGCGACGAATATGCACAAGCAGAGTGTAGATTTAGTTTGTTTTGCTTACTTTTGCTGGCAAAGAAAAAAAACTGTCTGGCAGTACCTGTTCATATAAATAAATGAAACAATCAAAACTGTATTCAAGGTCTGCGAAGTAGGATTTCAAACACAAAGTAGTCAAATGTGATTCCAGTCTTTGTTATTAGCCATATTATATCTCAACAACAGACAAAAATAATGCTCTATAACATCTTTCTACCTTGGACTACCTACTGTCTGCACTCAGTGTTTCTAACCAGAATCTAGAGGATATCGACTTAAACAAATCCAAAACCAAACCACGCACGGCTCTCTGACCTGTGTAGATGAATGTCACAAAGCAGGCGTAGCGGCTGTGGGACTGGAGGAGACAGATCACGTTCACAACTATCTGAACCACTGGCATCGTTTTGTGTGAGCACGCTCCTCAAATGTGTGTGAATTGAAAAAGGCTCCATTTAGTGAGCCTGTTCAGCTCTTCATGAAAGGCTGACTCATTCATTTCCTCCGGCTTGACAAACTGTCAAAGACTCGCTTGATGTGAAAGTCCCCATTGGCTCTTCAGTTACCATGGGAACTGTAGTCAAATGACTTTCAGGCAACGGCAGAATATATCCCCCAAAAAGAAATGTCCGTTTGGTAAAATCCACTTGCAACACTGCAACACTCTCAAGTGTTGTTTTCTGGCATCATGAGTCAGATTGCTACAGAAATTTTCAAGAGTAACATTTTACTTAATTGACAATGATTTAAAATCTATTAATTAATATATAACTTGTGCACACCTTCTAATCCCACGTGAAGAAGAGCGAGCTTACCTCAGTGTCCCAGAACTCAGATCTCCACGAGGAGAGGCAGAAGGTTCTCCGCAGTGTCGCACATCTGTCAATCAGTGAGGGTCACCTGCAGCAACAAGGAGACACGAAGCATGAAGATACAGCCGGCCATCTTTAGGAACTAACAAAACATCCAGCCCAGTGTTGCCAAATCTTCCAATAAAAGTTGCTAGCAGCAAAATTCGACAAGTCGGCAACAAGGACAGCTCGTCCCTTCAAGTTTGGTCGTTAAAAAACACGTGTGAGGGAAGCCTCTGTGTGTGTGTGTGTGTCAGAGATATTGTGCGGCTTTAATGATGCTAATGTTTGCTAACCAAGAGCTTAAAGCCAGGTTGAACCCCCGACGGAAGATTTGAATATTTGCTGTTGATCACTATTGAAGCCCAAAATATGGTATTTGGGATAACCTGACATTTTTGACTCTTTTCTGAAGTTTTATGGACCAAAAGATGAATCGACTGTTTGGTAAAAGAAAGATTGATGACTTTGAAAGTTATTACAAATAAACTTCAAACAATGCTTCAAAGAATGGTTGTAAATCGTATCTATCTATTGTCAGCAGTACACAACATACATGACAGATACTGAGTCGAGACAATAATGAACAGAGCAGCTGACAACATGGAGACTAGGAAACCATCAGACGGTTGCTACAACAGACGGCCCTCCCCTGAATGACGCGCAGTGTCAACGGTACAGAACTGAGATGCAGACCGAGCCCTCCATCTGATGTTGAGCATTCTCCACAGAGCTCTGTGTTTATCTGAAGGACTCTCACACTAATTTATCACAAAGACTCGAGGAGACGTCCCATCAGCCTAGAGGGATGTGGTGTTTAGTTTTCCTTTGGACAGATAAAGCCTATTTATTCTGTGTGACTCATCAGTGGCTCCAGGTCAAGTAAATACAGCGAAGGGAGGGATGAGGGACGAATAACACAAACTTAAACATATTATGTATTAGATGATTCATTATGTAAGTTAAAGGTTTGACAGGAACATACAAGTTCTTTAGGAGATTAGTACCCATTCATTCAGTAGAAATGATGTCCCAGAGCTTACATGGTACAGATAGTATTGAGGTATCTCTCCCCTTGATATCTATGGGTATATGAGGCCATTGTGGGCACTGGGCATCCAATGAGGCAATAATAGTCCATCCATTTAGTTATTCTATTCAATTCCTCAATTGATTTAGCAGCAACTGTATTATACAGTTCCACGGTTATATTGGAATATAAAATCACATGAACAGAATAGAGGATTAAATCCATGACGCCAACACTAGCACAAACAATTTAATGGGTGTTTTTATTTTTCCATTTTACAATAAATGTATTAGATATCTTTCATAAGTTTGTCCCATTGTCTATTTCTCTGTAACAATAATGAAGAGAGTAAGCAGGAGGTATCTCCAACAATAACGTCTCTATGAGGACCTTCAGGAGAATAACCACCATCACCTGAGCTGCAGTGGATCGCTCTTTGAATTCTTCCACAAGCCAGACAGCAAATGATACGGTGTAAGATAAAACAAGTATTGCACTGTAACAAAATAAGACGTATTCTCTTCACTTCAACAATTTCAGTCTAAACAAAAAGGGTTTTTACCTGAAGTATAGGCTCTCGGGAAGAGTTCTCCTCATGCAAACCAAAAGCCACAGTCAATAAGACTAAGTAACCATCTATAGCTAAGGCTGGGTAGCTCCCCTCTGGTTACAGTGCGATTTCTCCAAACTCTGCATCCGTCTCACTACAGTATCTGCGTGTCGAGTAACAACAGTGCTCCCCAGCCAGCCGTCACTGTTGGCTAAATATGTCGCACACCTAACGAGGCCTGGAGAATCACAATAAGCAAAGTTTCCTCTACGAAGGACCTGCGTATTGTCCTGTGGCCAGGCTCACGAGGGAATAGGAGAGTGCCAGCCCATCCTGTTTACGCCACTTCAAACCCTAAAATCACAAAGGCAAACGCACTGCTAAACACACTGCTCAACGGTGTACAAGGCTCAAACTAAGCCAGCAAGAAGGTGTTTTTTGTGAATTTAGTTTGAAGGCGGAGCAGTTAACACACAATATGTTCCTCTGTGAGCTTGCAGTCACACGGATGTCTGTACTAATTGTGTGTCAATCCATCAAGCAGATGATGAAATACTTCACTGGATAGGTAACCTGTTGATAGCACAGAAGGGAAGGTTCGGGGATCACCAAAGTCATTAGGAGAGACCATCTTGGCATCATGGACGTCAGAGTTCACTGTTCACACTCTGGACCCTCAGCCGCCTCATGACTCAGTAAGTACTGTATTTGTAAACTAAGCTGGTAAATGAAGAAAAATCCCGTCATGCAATCAGGTGGTGCTAAAATCCAAAACAACAACGTTCAAGATGTTAATCTTGAATGTTGGGGAAGGACTCCACACAACGTCTTAACCGGTCCTCTCCGTCTCCACCAGGACACACAGCACTAACAACAGCTGCAGCTGATGAGTATGCAGATAATTCAATTCAATTCAAATAGCACAAAATCACAAATTTACCTCAGAGGGCTTAATAAGGCTTGATAATAAAAGAGCTCCAAAAGTCTATTGTTTTTAAGAGAGTACTAAAAGGACGGCTCCTCAGGCACCTAACAATGCTCATCATTCATTACAGGAGGATGAATCACACGAGTATCTGGGACTCAGTGACTCATTTAACCAATGTAAACACACACAAGGCCACAGAGAGCTCCTCCTAACCACCCTCTGTCCTTGTAGAAGCTGTCCTTAGTTGTGTAATACCTAGAGTTTAAACTCACCAACAGTTTTCAGAGCTGCCTGATAAAATTGCCCAATCAGAGGAAAGTTGTTGTTGCACCGAGAGCAAAATAAATGAACTTAAAGACGTGTGGAAACTGGCTATTTAGGGACCACATTGTGTCGACAACAACAACAAGCATGCCTACATGCACGGTATTACATCATTTACTTTGTAAAACATAGTCTGGAGACCAAACTTAGGCTACTGTTCTTATAGGGTGTGATCATAAAGAAAAAGAAAACATTTTATTTCCCCACGAAGTCGACTACTTCCACCACAGTTTCAAACATAAGCCTGCAGAGTGAGTAATCACAGCATCCATCAAAGCACGGGCGAATTTAGGAACATTTGGAAGATAAATATGGGTTGCACGGTTATTATTACAAATGCAAACGTGGCTGTAGCCTTCGTCAGCGGGTGTGATAACTGGGTGCAATACAGTTCAGCATGACGTGGAGAGAAATGTCCTGCACGCTCTAGCAAAAGACCGCTGTCGTGTGCCATCACGTCAACACGCACCGCAGCCGAAAAGCGTTTTGCGTTTTCATGTTTTGTTTGTTTACGTAGCACACAAAGCTCTGCTTGTAATCAAAACTGATATCCACACGCAGATATTTGTGCGAGTTTAATTATCAGACTAAGATTTGGCAAACTGTCACACCACGAGACCAGTGAGAGATTTTTAGCAAAGCATGACGGGTCTGTGCTCATTGCCATTGTTCATTTAAATACATACTGATACAACTGAACTGTAGATGTGAGGTTGTATCCGTCTGTCTCAACTGCTCCTCTCTGCCCTAAATGAGCAGTGCCGGGTTTCAACAGCCCAACACTGGGGATGTTTCAAGGTCAGCTCAGTCAGCCATGAATTATTGAGCTGGAGCTCTGTGCCTTCTCTGTTTGCGCTTCTTCTGACGCGCTCCGTCTTCCTTCCTCAGGTCATTGGACGTCTCCAATCAGAAAATACAAGTGTAGGCCAATGATTAAAATGAAGAGAGGTTCATGACCACTGGGAGTTAGTTACAGTCTGCTGGTTTGGACAAAAACACACAGCATAATTTAGTGCACTAATTTAGCTTCCTCTCTGCCAAAGTAGTCCTCTAATACATTTGGTTTGACACAGCCATGAGGAAATTTCACTCGGCCCTCTTTGGTGCGTGAGTGTTTGCAGGTAGCCATTCTTCACGATACACACAATCATACTACACACACACACACACACTTTATCCAGAGGTAGAGGGATTAACTCTTAACACCTGACCACAGGGAACCAGTCTGCTGTAATCTCCATCCCCGTTGCCTCTCTCGTTGGTAACAAGGACCAGCTACTCACCAGTGGAGCAGGCTGTCTGCACAGGAATAGAATGAGGTCTATTAATAGCAAAAACCGCACTGTAAAATTAGCCCTCGCCTGGTTTTCTATACAGATTAATGGCTGACAGGTATAAAAGACAGTGAGGCCAACAGGTACACACCTCAGTGAGATGCTGACTGACTGAAAGGACTTAGTGGTGAGTAAAGGTCACTCACGGGCTACAGTGACTACAGTCAATCAATAGTTCTGCCCCGAGGACACGTGGATGTGGAAAATGCGTGAAACATACACACTACAGGTAATAATAATACAGAAGGAATGAACGAGAGAACACAGAAGAGAGGAGAGAGTGAAGGATTGGCTACTCGTTCTCCCTCATCCTCTCCACCTCTCTTATAGGCCGGGAGAGGGGAACTGAGGCGTACGCACATCCTGAGCTAAAATTAGCTCTGCTGCAGCTGCAGGGCCAGACGTGTTGGGATGGGCCCGTGTTGCAACTCACTCACACACACACACAAACACAAACACACACACACACGCATGGTTCCACCAATTAGACAGGGTGAGCCACAACAGCACAGGTGAATGCCAACAGCATCCTGCCTCCTTCCTCTCTGCTCCTCAAACCAAGGCATACACATGCTTTCAATGCAAATGTTGCATGTAAATACATCCACATACAGGATATACACACACACACATACCGTACACAGTGCCCCACAGTAACCTCAGCTACACACCTGGGAATTCTTACATTTCTGGTGAACAGTACATACATTGTTTTAAAAAAGGGGGGATTATTGACAGACGAATTTTGTGGAGCAATAAATCCTCATGATGGTTTTAATGTTCAGCTGTGGAAACTGTGTCTAAGAAGTCTGTCTGTCTCTAATATTAAGTTATATATATATATATATATATATATATGAAGGAGTAAACATTACAAACACCTTATTATTGGGATGCTGTTCAATATAGCACCACCGCTCTCTACATCCACAAATAACACCAGAGAGGTTGAGCATCGTTAAAAACTGAACATCAACACAAGTAGGATTAACAGCTGGGCTATTGTACTGTTTTGCATACGTTTGTACAGGTGTACACAATAAACTCTGCAACACAAGAGCCATGAGGTGGAGGGGATTGTTGTTGTTTTATGAAAGCTTGGGCAGTCACAAGTTCACTCACTGACAGTTCAAACTACAGACACATGACTACAAATTCCACAGTATTTAGCACGGCGGCTGACTTGGTGCACGGTGTGTGTGTGTGCGTGTGTGGGGGAGCTTAACTTTAACTTCACTCCAGAGAAAAATTATTTACTGCCAAATAAGCCGCTCAGCAGTCTTCTAACAATGGGCCACCTTGAGCTTTTGTGACATGCCAAGACCACCGCAGTCTGCGTGACCAAAGGATCAACCGGGGGGGGGGGGGGGGGGGGGGGGG